CTAAGTTTGTAACAGTAACTACCGTTGTGTAGTTTCTCGTCGCTTCTATCTAATTAGTAAATACATACTTTTTAGATCGGTAAATTATTTGATTGATAGTTATTTGCAGACAAAACAGTTCGGCAGTACGCTCTGAGGAAGGCAACATGTTGGCCGAAACGTCAGCCACCACGACTGACGCGACTCTTCTCGGTAAGGTTACATGGTCCTACATGGTACTACTATACAGGTCCCATTTCCATTTCAACTTAGAGTAATTTCAATGTTGAATAATTTGAATTCCCTATAAAACACATTAGAACTATTTAGTTTCAGACACAGAAAGTGACATTGAAAGATATATATTTTTTTAAGATCAGTATGAAAACTTCGGGCATGGGACGGGGAGAGGGGCGCTTCAGGCTACAGGTATAGTGTCGACGTCTTGATGTTTTCTTATGAAGAATCTCTTTTTTTATACTGCATATAAAATGTAATTTTATATGTTGACTTTCAGTAATATTTACAACAATATGTAGAATGACTACGTTAGTATAAAAAATATAAGAAAAACCTATATTTTTGAAGATGTATCATTGGCTTCTGGGTGGGGGCAGCTGAAGCCTCACCCCTCTCTCGGAGCACCACTAACTACAGTTGTTTTTTTTAAGTTCGCCTGTTTTTCACTACGTAAAGAATAAGATTTCTAAGCAGTTGAATTGTAATGCCAAGTGAGAAGTCTCAGGTTTTTAAGACCAAAATACCGATTGTACATTTAAGTTTTCTTTGCGCTCCGATAAAAAAAATGTGTGCTCCTTTCTGACACATTGCATGTTTAGAACCCTAGGTTCAAAATCAGTTTAGAACTTTCAGAGCATTTTAGACGAATCGTACGTAACCTATTTTAGATATGTACAAATCTTGACCTCAAAACATTATATTGAAAGACATTACTGTTTATATATTATGTATTTACATTTTTATTTCAACTATACCTTCATCGTGTTATTTTTGGTAAAACAACGTTGAAAATTGCTTCTTGCACACACTTCAGGGGGATTATTGTAAAATCTGTCAGGAGATTTAAAAACAACATGTTCCTCAATAGAAGACAGGTGAAGAAAGAAGACAAGTTGGCGGAGTAAATAATGATCCCGTTTCTACATAATGCGGGAAATATCAAACTTCTGGTTGTTCGAGAGAAAGATATTTTATTTAACTTGACCTTTTTATAGCGTTAATCGAATGGTAAGATTCCTTCCATGCTCTTATAGACTTGGAATTAATTTCAACTACCAATTGAAAATGTTTTAAAAAATTATTGCCTAGGCAGTCAGCCTCAAGACATAATTAAGTCAGTCCGAAGGCAAACGTTCGTGCGCTTTTTAGGTCGAGACGATAACGTACAATGCGGCAACACTGCGCAACGTAGTGCGCTGTATTCAAATCGAGCGACTAGTTCTTCACAAGCGTTTTTACACAACCCTCGATTCAGCGGATGCAATGAAAAGATACATACTCCTGGAAAATGTTATATTTGATATTAACTTGTTTTCCAGCAAAACTGACATCTGATGGGCTCTAGGCCTTGAATGAAATGAACCAATAAATATTGCAAACGGATCACTCTGATACTACACCTTTCGAGCAAATAGTTGATCTTGAGAGACTATATGTAATTTTTTCAATTCCAATTGTATAATTCACTAATTTTCACGTTGCCTAATGATACTCTTTGTGATAGTTTTTCACCAATCACAGAGAAGTTTGCAAAACAAGTATCGAAAATTAATCATCGAGAATCGTTTTAGTACAAGTTTCGTTCGTTAGTGTACAATAAAATTGCATTATATTATGTTCGTCTGTTTTAATTTCTTTAATTATTAGTATTTGTACATGGAATATTTAAAATAAATTGTATTAACATTTCACACTGATCATATTTGACTAGCTCAGTGGTAAACCAAAGCGACCTGCAACAGGATATGGTAGGGAACTGCCCGCTAGGTGGCCTTCACGTTCTGCACGTCAACTGCCGCGAAACTATTAAACGTAAAAGTATAAGTTATAAAAGTTACCGAAGTCGTAGAAAAAGTACCGTATGTCATGTTAATGATACTTGCTCGAATCGTAATATCACAATGGTATATTAATACCCATCATTACATTTCATAATGTACGATTTTTTATTCAGTCCAGTATTATTTTTTACTGTGCTGAATGTCAGCTTCGCTCCAGAACAATGATTTGATTACGCAATTATTAATATTCTCTCTCCATTTTACGAGATACTAAGCGTATTGTCTTTGCCTTCCACAGATGCATGATAACTACAAAGTAGCAACCTTTTGCCCCAATCAGTTGAGCTACTGGGGTAGCATTTCATCGCAAATAGGTGTTACAAATATATTTTAGCGACATATATGGGTTGAATTAATAGAATAGTTTTTGCAGATGTTTAAACCAATCAAATCATTCAGGGTATATGTAAATGCAGAGTTTGATTTCCCTACACGCAAAATAAAATACCCGCAACCTGTATATATTGTCTAGGCTATCCGGGAGGAGTCGCGTCTGTCGAGGTGGCTGACGTTTCGTCCAACATGCTGTGGCCTTCTTCAGAGACTGCCGAGCGTACTGCCGAGCTGTTTTTGTCTGCAAATAACTGTCAATAAAATAATTTACTGAACTAAAAAGTATGAACTTAGTATTAGACATAGATTGAAGCGACGATAAACTAAACAACGGTAGAAGAGATTAAAAATTTATTTAAATTAAACATCAGGTTCAATTTTAAAAGAAATTTATTAATTTTCATTTGTATTTTTACAAAAAGTTATTATAACATAATTCTTTTAGTAAATCTGGAGCCTTTTTCCTGCACGGATGTTCCAAAATTTTACGCTTGGAAATCCCAGTAACTATAAGGTGTGCTCAAATAAAAAGGAGACAACACTGATATGGTAAGAAACTTTTAAGGCATACTCCGACACCAAAAAAAAAAAAAAAAACTGTTCAGATCGACAGTTCTTCCTGGACGGAACTATACAACCCCCTTCCTTTTCCTAGTGGAAAAGGGCGGGGGAAGGTAGTTTTGATTCCATATGAGGGACCGTGATTCGTCTCCGTGCTCCCCACTCACAATGGAGTCCAACAAGGGGACACGCTACAGAGATGCCAAGGTTGACACGAAGATATAGTGGGGTATATCCACAGTGCTACGCCACCGTGGATCGCCCAATCACCCTGAAGTTCAGTACAAGAGTTAGTCCGAGCCGACTGATCGGGAGTGGTTTGGTTCCGGACTGACCCTCTAGAAAAGGCCGAGGTCAAATAAAGTGTTTTGGGGCCTACAAGATGCAGAAATCTCCCCTCAGTCACCAGGGCGCACCTGTGTTTGGAGTGAAACTGACTACATCAGGTCTACCAACAAACATCCGCCGTCAAGGCGGCAGTCTAGAAAGCATTTTCAGACCCCTCAACTACCATATCACCCATTCTTTGACACGGTTCGCCATGTACGGCAAACACATAGGTGGACATTTAGCATACAGAGAAAGCCAGTGAGGAAGAGAAAGGGATGACAAAAGAATGTAGATGACACGAAATGAAAATCAAGAAGATGAAAGAAGGAAAAAACACTTGAGAGCTTTCTCTGCATCATTTGCTCTTAATCATCATTTACTAATGTTGGAACACCGATGACCTGCTATTTGTCTCCAAATGAAACAATTGGAAGCCTTTCAGGTCTCTAATATTTAATGTAGGAAATAGCTTACTATCCACATGAACAATAAGAATCGAAGGGATGCCACTCCTGAACAAAGATTATTTACAGATTCAGTTCGCTCTCTTCACTTAGTTGGCATGGTTAGACGACTACGAGATTTATGAAATAGTTTTACTTTGTTGCACTTACATCATAAGAAGAGAAAGCATTGTAATTGTGCGCTGAAAAAACGCCAATTTCGACAAAAAAACAAATTATTACTCTGAATACTGAAGTGTAGAAAATTCTGAAATGTTATAAAGAAGTATTCCCTTTTCTCCCTGAGGCACCCAATTAAATTTTTAAAAAAAGATTATCTTTTAGAGGCAATTAAAAACACCCAATAACTCATCTTTACTGACATATGTAGCTGCTAACATTCATAAGCCAATTCCAGAAATGTGAACCCAGCATAGTAAGTTGCACAAAATTATGAATATCTTCTTCACGTAAGTCAAAGTGTCCTTGCAAAGTTTGGTAAAAATTAATACAACACAAATGTGAAATATAATTAATTAAAAAAATATGTTGGTAGATGCACCATGATAAATATTTTTCACCTATTGCTAAGAGCAAATTCATTCCTAATATATTCCGCCAGAGGCCACTAGCAGTTCAGCAGAACTGGTACATAATAGATTCGCTAGATGCCAGTGGCTATGTGCAAAATAAACGTTTTTAATCTAATGGCAATGTACTGTAAAATAAAATAAAAGAATATTATGGTATTTTATTAACAATTGAACCAGATGCGAGCACGGAATGCCAATATTTACTACATAACATATGACAGCATTAACACCAGAAGTATATGAAAGATTGCAGGTAGCTACAGTCAACTGAAATTGCATTTTTTTTTCTACACAAAAGAATGAATCTGTTTCCTGGGGTAGTAATAGGCATTTGAGCAGGGTGGCCATTTCCAGGTGTCACAAATCTGAATTCTGAATTACCACCCACAAAATAGGTGCAACAACTACGACACATTATCAAGTTTTTCATGTATTTTTGCTTTCAGTAATTAAAATCTTGAAGTAACATTTTACATAATATAGCAAGGTTACAAAATTAAAAATATACTAATCAGGAGATTTTAATTACAATCAGAAGTGTCTCTGATCTTTATATATTGTTTATAAGGTGGTACCATAAACGAAACGTCTATGGTACCACCTTATCACTTCACATTCCTAATATAATCACATATTGATTATGAACTAGAATTAGCATAACTGTTACATGGAAGACTTACCTATGACAGATTTTGCAAATGATCTGTTTTTTAAAGTTGCCAAACCCAAGTCTCCAATTTTCACACTGCCGGTGGTACCAGTTATAAAAATATTGTCACATTTTAAATCTCTGTGTATAATAGGTGGACTTCGAGAATGAAGAAAGTTTAAACCTTTCAAAATCTGACGACACCATGACTTAAGCACTTTAGGATTTATCTTCTTGAAACGGCGTAAATAACTGCAAGTAGAATGGAAGAATATAGAGATGAAATATAAGTATGCATAAATACATAATTATGTATACAGATTTTAACAATAGTGAAAACTACACCCTGGTCTGAAATATGAAAAAATAAAATATTTCAAAATTAAAATGGAAAAATTGTAATGTCTAAAATAATTTGGGAGGGGAATTTTCCAATACTTCAAGATATTAAGTACTAAGGCAGGCATTTTAGCACGTAATTTTGGAAGGAATTTTTATCTACGCCCTCATATTAAAAAAAAAGAGGTTAACAAAGTGTTTGATTAT